GATCATTTTTGTATGTAACATTTGATTATTAATTAAATGAAACATGTCATGCTAAATAAAGAAAGAGGATGTGTCTATTTTGCTAAGGGAAGTAACTCGGCTACAACTGAGCAATGGAATGGACAATGCATTTGAAGTTTATAGGGGGAAATATCTACAATATGTGTCAGTTTTCAAATTGTTTGTAGTAATCATAACATTTTTATTTCCTGTAGTCCCTCATACATTCTACTTTAGTTGATGTACTGTAAATTGAGTGGACATAAATTTACAGTGTAACAAAATAATTTATCTTTGCATAAATATTTGATAAAAATGGATTGCTCGGTTATTTATTTGCACATTTTCAAGACCGCTCTTCATTCTTTAGGCACAGATTTTATTTTTATCCTGTAGCTCATGCTCATTAGCAGAGACAGTTTCCAATGCTGTGATATTGATCTGCAGTGGCAAAATTCAAGTATTCAGGAAAATCACTTGATGCTGCATAATGAGTGTACTTTGCTAGCGGATGGCCATATCTTTTTGATACATTTCTCCAGAGTGGACATAAATCACTCTGCCAATCATAAGATATGATTTAAATGCAGCCTTTAATAGCTATACTGGAACTATATTAATTTTTATTTCCTTTGAAAAGACAAAAATGATAAGTATCACTGTAATGTAAAATCTGAGATGTCAGTGAATCTTTTATATAAAAATTATGCTTAAAATGAAAGTCAAAAGATTATAAAAAACAGGAGCAAATAGCTTTTGCTAGTAATAATGCATTTTAGAATCATACAAGAAAACACATATTTTTAAGTAACATTGTTATATTAATATAGATATTACAAGAAAATTGCTTTCTCCTAATATGCCATGGTGATACTCTGATGATGTTAGTATCTTTAAATTCTGTACTTTTAGGCATTTTTAATGACATTAACGTCCATTCTTTTTTATTTTGTCCTTGGTTTCACACTAATTATCTTTGTCCCTCATAAATATGGTGTTGTCTGTTAATCAGAACCAGAATTTAGAAAAAAAGTTGGGTCAGCTGTTAAATGTTGTTTCTTAAAGTTCAGAGGTAAGTGTTCCATTGACTGCTCTTATGATAAAGAAAAACGAAAAACCCACAATAATCTCACAATACCATTGCTAGTGCATGTATGAAGACATTCAGACACTCGACATCAGAATTAGCATTATTCTATAGGTTGTGCTTACTTCCTTTTCTGGATAACAACCCTCTCTTACAACTCAGATCACTATTTCCCTTCCTAGTGTTATTTATACATCTTCCCCATCTGTTGGAACCTCTCTCCTGGTTTTACCTTCTCCCCATCCATTACTTGACTTTTCTCTTTAATTATTATAACAAAGAAAGCATGATCCTGTATGACCTCAGAGTCCATACTTCCTACTTACCTGAAGACTGCTGAACCCAGCTAACACAAAAAAAGAGAGAGATGTCTTTCTTGAGGATGCGTGTTGTAAACAATAGTTAGAAAGACATCCAAGATTTTAAAGAAAGAACAACTTATTGAAAAAAATGGGGTGGTGATGTTGGGGGAATGAAGATTTAATAAGTCCCATATGCTCTCACTACTTTGCATTTCTCTCTGCTTGAAATGACCACTTCAGGACATACCAATATATATTGTGATCAACACAATGTCCGTGACAGAGGAGGAGTTTCCACATGGAGGTTTGGAGAATGCAAGTACCTTTTCCCTTCAAGTTCTTTGTCCCACAGGCTAATGAGTAACAGGGAATGTTGGGCAGTTAGCAGCAGCAATCAGTCTGGAAAACTATGTTGAAGCGGCAAGGAGGAGAGGGAATTAACAAGTAACACTTGCTATGTGAAGGCCTTCAGGGCCCTGTATCTCAGAAAAAGGGTCGCTTAGTCTGTGGACTTAGTGGTAACAGGGATATTTTGTCCCAATAGTCACATGTTTGTTATTCATCTGTATACACTGGATTGGGGAGAAGATGTGTTTCCATAAGCCCTGTCTCAAGACATTCCATAACTCCAGACAAAAGGGCTAAAGGAACTTGAAAAATCATTTAGAAGAAAATAAAATTATACATAAATACAAATAATGCAAAAATAAACTTAATGATACAGTGGGCCAGCAGCTGGCCGGGATTCAGCTTAATGTCTTGGAGTGGCTCAGGAGACTTCTTATGTGGGCCTGAGTCTCTGAAACAAAATTGTTTCCTTAGGGAAACCTGTAACTCTCAAAGCTTTTAGAATGCCTTCTTTTACAGGGATGATACACAAATCCCATATGTGTATAAGTACTGTTCTTTTTTCTCTGTATTTTATTTATTTTTAAAGTTAACTCTTTGGAGCACACAGAGAGGGAGGGCAGCAGGTGGTGTGGGGAGTGAAGGACCAATTGTGAAGCCATGAGGGAGAGAGAAGAACCACCTTTTCATTTGCAAAGAGAGTGCATAGCAATTGGGCGATACCAATAGTTCCCAAGGTTTCCCTGGGCAGAAGTGCTGTCACTCTTAGAATCCAGCAGTGAGACTATTGGTAATTATATGGCATGTTCCATAGTTAACAGAAGAGATGCCATCAAAAGTCAAGCAGTTCTGGATATCCATCACATCTGTGGTCTAAGCTGGTCAGAATTGAGGAGGGGAGGTTAGATATATGAGTTGACTTATTGTGTCACATTCCATTCTGCTCAGCCCTCTCCTGCCTCTTTTGTTTTCACAAAGAGGCAGAGGGCAGAGAAGCAGCTGCAGCAGAAGAGGAGAAGAGAAGATAGAAAGAAAGAGTAAGGATTCTATTGTTCTCAGGTTAGGTGTTTGAAAACTTATGTCACCTCCTAAAGAAATGCCTTCTTCCGCCTCTATAATTGTCCTGGCTATTTGCCAGAAGCACCAGCCACAGCTCCAAAAGAACACTGTCCTATCAGTTCTTTGAATCAGTTAGCATCTCAGCAACGTGAACCTGCTCAATCCCATAACTTCCTTTTCTGCCTTTTTCACAGCTTCCAAGAGCATGCAAAATGACCTGAGGTTTTTTCTAAAATAGTCCATGTTGCTTGCATATTTAAAGGTAGTAAGGACACAATATGATTTAAAGGCTTTATCTGTTATTTTAACTGTATGGAGACTTTTTTTGAGAGAGAGAAATCTCATAATAGGAAAGTACTTAGCTCAGGAGGACACACCTGTTCTATCTAGACAGAAGGGACTGGAGTAAAATGTATGTTTCTGACCCTAGTCCTATAGATATCTCACTCAGTAGCATATGCTTTATGCACAAACAGTATTTTAAAAAGGGAAGTTTTACAGGCCTATGGATGGCTTATTAATGCTGAACCCAACAAATCTGTAGTTCATGTGCATCTGAGTGCTTGCTGCTTGCATTTGGGATTCAAAACTATGCAATGAAAAAATGGAAACATGGTGCCATGTTTCTGGAAAGCAAGTTTTCCAGCAACTAGGGCCTCTAATGATTCTGGCTGTTGTAAATCATAAATGGAGTAAAACTTACAGCATTTATGGTAATGTGACACATAGTACTGTCCATTGTAAATTACACCAGTGATTAACTTTCTGAAAGTGCATCTTCCACTGAATATAAGGACACTAGAAAAATCTACAGTAATAATCAACACCTTAATTTTTTTGCTAATTGCAAACCTGTTTCACATGATTTTAACTAGGAATAAAAATGTTTAAAACATTTTAACAATTGCTTCACTCACATCAAACTTTGAATTTGGTACAGAATGCACTGTATGTCTCGGGGGCTGTGTTTCAGTAGAAAGAAGAAAAGTAGAATCGGAATGTGGAAAAAAAGTTCCACTATTAGTTGGAAAAGCTGGAGTTTTTGACTTTAACATTAACAATTTTTTTTCCAAATCATCTTAATGATTGATTCAAAACCAAAGGGGACAGCAATGGCTTGTACTTTAGCAATGATAGAAAGAAATCGTTCTTCTGCATGTATACTTAAGCCCATTTTGGGCAGCTATTCTCCCAGAGAGGTGCACGGATTTATGCTGGTAATGTCTGTTGGTGCTAAAGTTCTGAATTTTCTATTGATGGGAGAAGAGACTCCTTGTCATTACATTCTTTCATATCATGGTCACAGCAATCCATGGTTTTGTAATCCCAAAGCTAGATTACTGCCATGTGCTTGGTTTGAGACTGCCTTTGAAAAGGATTGTGGAACTTCAACCAGCATGGAAATCTGTGGGTCCACTATTGGGTGGGGTGAATTGTTATAATCCTACTGCTATGCACTGATTATCTATTTGCCTCTTGGTGCAATTCATAGTACTGGTTGTGATCTTTCACAATCGTTTTGTCCTGGTCGGGGGAGAGGGGTAGGATCTACTTGGTCACTCTTGTTGGATCACCTTGTACAGCAAGACACCCCGGAGTGGGCCACTGGCCCTTTTCACTGGAGAGCCCACGCCTCTCACACCTCCCGTTTGTGGTCTGCTCGAGTCAAACGAGAATGGCAGCACTTTAGACTGGCATAAATGATGGTACGAGGTGAGGGCAACAGAAAATCAGGTTGATTGTCTGGCAAGATTCCAGGCACAGTATAAGGCCAGACTGAGTAAGGCCTAGCATTACTTCATGTTAATAGCAAGGAGTGGGAGGGAGAGAGGGATGAGGTCTACAAGATTCTTATTCTGAAGATTTAATTCCCCTTGTTAATAGTTGTATTCAGTGATGGAAGGCACCTAGGCAATGGGCATCATTACATGTCTATATAAATAATTACAATTCTTTTTGGACTTTTATGTAACATCGTGGAATTAATTAGATTTTAATTGTTCTATAGCAGGCACTGAGCAGAAACAAATGGAACATGCCACTGCACTAGAATGATTACATCATTAGATACAAACATACATAAATTGTGAGTACACAGTTATTTATGTTTACATTTAGAGAAAGTTTTATTTGGAGAAGAACCCAAGAAATTAAAACAGTCAGACTATTTAATATTTTATACAACTGAAGTCCTCTAGTGGGTGATTCACCCTAATTGTTAAAACAAAACAATCCAAAACAAAACAATCCAAAACATTCTTTTAAAGTCCTTTGTACTGATGACTGAAAATAAACACATAATATACCAAGCAGCAACTAGAGTGGCATGTTTATTTTCCTTGCAAAATTGGCTGAGGATGCTTATTGTTAGATGCTTTTAAGAGCATTACAGTTTATAACAGAAGAGTTTGGTTTTTGTGTGCACAAGCGTCTATCTATAATTAGATAGCTTAGCAGTAATTTCCAGGATGTTTGCCAGAAATAATAATAAAAAAAGGTACTGTGTTCATCCCTGGTGTAACTTAATTAATTCCAAAACAGTGACACCAGGGAAAAAAATTGGCCTCAGGTTAGTTTATCCCATTATAAAGCAGCCAGATTGATTTGCACGCCATCTCCATGTATAAAATTTATTCCAAAACTGTTTGTAATAGAAACAAAGGAGCTCTCATGATCTCATAAACAGTTAGGGTACAGCCCCATTTTGATGTATGGAGATTATTAAACAAAATTCCCTGTTCATTGAAATGGGAATGGACATTGGGAAGGAAAGCATAAAAACCCTGAAAAACTGGGATTAATAATTTATATAGTTGTTACTCAATAAAGAGCGTATCCTTTGCAAATCACAGATTTTACTCCTTCTAAATCTTTGTGCAGGTTTCCATAATGTACTGGGCATTGGCATTTTTTAAATAATATGTCTGTAAGGTGGACAAATAGTAAAACCATATCTCATATAGCTGTCAATGTAAAGTAGTAAGAACCAGTGGCAAAAGAGACAGCTGCTGTTTTGAAATATTGCTTTCTGACATGACAGAGTTTTCTTAATATTTAATGGTTTCCTCCCAAAAGTTTGTTTATGTCTAAATCTCACTTTGAATGACAGGATTTTATTCAGTTTCTCTCATCATTAGTTCTGAAAGCTATGTGGTATATTATAATCTTGCTTAATATTTGTTTTTACATTCTATTTTGGTTTTTGAAGTCAAGCTAACGTATGAATTGTTTTATCCAGTCCACAAATTGTGTGATTCGAACATACACTCCAGGACGCTGGGGCAATGCACATTGATAGCCAAAGGATGTCACACCTGCCAAAAGCCACCTGTTATTGTCTTGACTCATCAGGGACCCTCCTGAATCTCCCTGCAATTTTGAAATTCAAGAGTTAAAAAAAGAACTGCTTTCTATCTTAAGTAACTTTGGATCTTCAAGCTGTTTTGTCTGTGTGTATCCCAGTTTTGGTGCACATGCTCCCGATATGCCCAGAAGGGGACCCACATGAAGAAATACTCAAAAGAGAACACTACTGATTTTTTTTAAACATAACGTGATCTTAAGCTCTTAGACACCTGTCAGTCATGAACTGTATCAATCATGAAGCATAGTAGAACCCTTTGAATTAATTGTTTTACTTATCAACTTTAGGTTGTATGCTCTTACCTTGCACAAATCCTGATTAAACGGGCTTTGCACAGGGGACTTCTGGAAAAGGTCTGGGGGAAATAAAATCTCTCTCTCAAAGCCTGCAGAGCAGCTGCAGAAGCTCTCTCACTCTGTCAGCAACCTACAGGCTGTCTATGCTTGCTATATCCTTCCTAATTCATGGTTCTTTGGTCATTGATTATAACACTGATCTCTTGCACTCTGTATAATATTAAGGCCTTGCTCTTCCCTCTTCAGTGGGGCATAAGGGGATGCAAATAAAAGCAAAACAAGTAGGGAAAGCCTCACAAGCTTAAAAAGTGCAGAGTGGAGCCAACGCGGTATGACCTCCTTTTTTCTGAGAGTCTGCTGTAACTCCCTAAAGGCAACTTCATTTGGTCTAGTCTTGCAGTTATGGGGCACAAGTCAGAAGCAGCACAGGGTAGATCCAGTGAGAACCACATTCTGTAGCATGCTCCCATTAGAATGTGATGAAAACAGTCAGCAAAAACAGAGAGTTCATGCCGCTAGAAGCAGAACTAAGTAACATTCAATGCTGCCTGCCTCCCCATAGAGAGGGAGTGCATTGTAGGCTGTGCTGGGGTGGTCAATGGCTCCTTAGGAAGCTCTGCTGCTAGAGGGCAGGAAGATCATAAGAGAGCAACAGTGTTATCTTATCAGAGAGAAGGGCAGTTCCTCCAAGTTGTTGGAGCTTCCATTTCTTGAGGATCCATGGAATCTAAATGTTTGAAGGTAATGCCCCCTTACTACTCTCCATCTATCTATCTAAAGTATTTTTTAGGCTTGTGTCAGCTTGGTATTTAAGCCTCACACCTCACATTTCCACCCACAAACATCTCTTCCTCTTGAGGAGATTGCAGACCAGAAACTGTGTGAAGTTCAATATGTGGCACTTCCAACACCCCATATTGCCCTCTAGTGGTTTTTTTTCTCAGAAAAGTCCCTTCTGGCCTTAAAGTCTATGAGGTACAAAATAGCTTGTAATCTTTAAAGCATGTATCTTGTTACAGTACGAAATATGTAAGGCTCTGAGTAGAAATTATATTCTGACAGTGAGTGGCTAGTTTTTAATGATCAGAGGACCAACCAGTGAGCTGTTCAGTATGTGGAAGCAGAGAAAGAACTGTCATGCATTGCAATCCCCTTCCTGTCAGTTCTTTCTCTGCTTCCACAAGTAATTAGAAGGAATATAATATTAGCAATGCAAATGGGTTGTTTTTACTTACCTGACAAGAATCTACTCCTCCTTCATCATAGCCTGCACACATCATATTCTCTGTAATATTATATTCTGGCAATTTTTGTTGGCATTTCTCATTTGTAATAAGAGGGATCTCTGCTTCTTGCAATATGTTTGCAGTGGAACCTTATCAAAATACAGAGTATACACAACCAAAATGATCAAAATGCATAGCATAAACAACAGCCATTATTCTTAGTGAGTCAGATATTTCACTCTCATTACACAGCACTATCGAGGACCTGGGTTGCCATGTCATTATATCAGTTTATACCCCACTAAAATGTATCTAGGAACTTATAAGGCCCTGGCTCACTATTATTAATGGATGTTATCCTCTGCGAGGTAGAATATATTAACTCTATTTTACAGATGGGGAACTGAGGCAGAGGGTATATTATGTGACTTGCCCAAGATCACAAAGAGAAATAAGGCTGAGCTAGGATTTGAATACAGGTCTCCTGAGTCCCAGTCCAGTGTGCTGTGCACTAGATCCCCCCCCCCTTCCTCCTCAGTCAAGGAGTTATTCTTGAGTAAACAGCAGTGAATGAAATCCTGAGCTTTTATAATAGAGATCACAACTAAATTTTGTTTTTCAAATAACTTAATGAAGACCATTAAAATAAATGAATATCATCATGCATGGATCTAAGGACTCATTAAAAACGTGGCTTCGACTATCCAGATTCTTTGAGTACATTGTATGATTTTCAGTTGGTCATTTTAACCCCTTATACTAATGTATGTTATTAATTATTAACCAAAGTTTTACGGTGCAATTATACTCTGAAAGTAGCTCAGCAAAAATGGCAGTTTATTGCTCTGTGACACCAGATCAATATGCTTGATTTACAAATGAAAATGTAAATTCTCAGCCCTGGAAATTCAGCCTAGGCTCTAACAGTCAAGCTGCATTCTTTCCTCTGTATGCATCTTTACCAGTAATAATAATATCCTATGAGCTACATTCTGCCATCAGATTCCCCTATGCAACCTCCTTTGTCTCAGGACAGAATTTGGCTCCGTCTGCAATAACAATCTCTGAAAAGTGAAAATCTGCTTTGTTATGAAGTACAGTATAAATACATTTCAGGGTGTGTTCATTTTTAAATGGCAATTTTTTATTTTGGGTGGGTTTATGAAAGGAACTTAAAGATTGCCAAAATTTCAGCCTGCAACCAAAAATATCTCAGGCAGGAGCAATTGTTCACTAAATTTTAAAATAATCATTTGGGACATTTAAAAATGTTTGCCACCGAAAACATGTTAGTGAGAATTCTCTGTCACTGATGTGGTTGGATACATTAGGGCATGGTAGCATGTATGTGTCATGACCCACAAGTCATAAACCTGGGTTTCCAGGGTTTATAGGAACAGCCATACTCCAACCCTCCATCTGGCAGCCTACTAAGACTTGCTTACCTTGGATCCAAAAAGCCCAGCCCCAGTTTGGAGCTTTGGCCTTTCAGTACTTTTGGTGGAGTCCCGGAGCAGCTGATTAGCCTGCTGGTCCAGCAGCAGACACAGGAAGCTATCCAAACAACTGGGCTTCACCCTGTTCTGGACTGTGTGCCACCCTCCTCCTCTGACTTGATTTCCTGGCATGTGATTCATGGTTCTGACCTCCAGTTTGTCTCCTGAACCTGACTCCTCTCTTGTGACTCTGGCTCTGACAACCAGGTCTGACTGCCCACAACCCGGCCATGACAATATGAGATCTTTGTTAAGAACAGGCAAACGACCCCAGAAATGTTAACACTGGGCCTGATTTTCATCCTTTTGTCTAAAATGACCCTAAATATTTTTTTTAATTTTTAAAAGTTTAGATAAACAGCCTTCCCTCGTTGAAGTCTCTCAACAGCTGACATCCCTTTTCTTTCCCTCACTTCTGATGGGCTTGTGGTATGGCATATGAACTGCATGGTGTTCATCCAAACTGGATAATCAGATTTTATGAAAATGGCCTTCCTCTAGAGGACTGGAACCAACTTCTTGCACCCAAATGCTCCTGAAGGCTGGGATGTTCAAAATCTGGATCTGAATTTTATTTCTCTCTGCATCCTATGTTGCTTAGGCAAGATGAAATGGAGTGAAAGGCAGGATTTCAGCCTTACATCTACAGAAACAAGGAAATAATGGACATTTTTTTCCTTATGAAGAGTACTCCATTATAGTGAATGGCAAAAAAACAGTCACAGTATATGACCTTTTTAGAGACCTTTAATGTTACAGAAGGTGGCTGAATGAAGAGAGACTAGACTGGGACTCAGGATACCTTAGTTTTGGCTGTGGCTTTGCCACTCACCTGCTGGGTGATATTGGGCAAGTCATCTCACCACTCTGTGACTCAGTTTCCCCACTTGCAAAATAATTATAATAACACTTCCTTTGTAAATCGCTTTGAGAAATACTGATGAAAGATGCTATTTAAGAGGCAGGTATTACTATTACATACACATCCAGCCCACAAATATGTACAGGCAGCTCACACTGACTTCTATGGTGTGCACACAATCAGAAACACGATAATGGAAATCAAACTGGAAATAAGACATACTTTGTTAACAGGGAGGGAAATTAGCCATTGGAACAACTTCCCAAGCAATGTGGTAGATTTCCCATCACTTCAAGACTTTAAAACGTAAAGTAAAAAATACATCTCTGACATCAAAGAAAGAGTTTTCTCATTATTTTTTGTGGTATTTTTAAAAGTGTGGTGACTCACCTTGATTTGTAGTTCTACCCCAGCCAGCAATGGAGCAATTCATTCCTGGCAAAAACTGTTGACTTGCTTCTGGTAAGCAAATAGGCTGTATGTAATCTGTGAAAGAGACATAATTATTTTCAAGTTGTTTCCAGTGTTCTGTTTTTTGTGATGTCAGTTACCAAAATGCACATTGATCCAAACCCTCTCTTCCTTGCTCAGGCAAAATTCCCAACAAGCGCAGGACTGAGTCCGCTATGATTAGCTTTCCCAAGATTATATCTAATTTATAAGGACAAGTCCAACTATCCCATTAACCCATCATTACTGAGTAAAGTCAGGTTGACTAGTCCACCTGGAGTGACCTCAAATTCATTCATACAGAGTAAATAAATGTGTAAGAGAAGATCAACAATCCTACCTGTATAATTCACTTTGAATTGAAGATGCATCATAGCAATGTCATTATTTTTTGTGCGCTTGTTATAATGAGGATTTATGACAATTTGATCGATCTCTTCAATTACTGTTTGAGGATATGTCAGATTCAAAGTGGTATGCAAGCCCAGAACTGCTTTCCACTGAGACGGTATTAAATTCCTCCTAGAGATTGCAAGGAATATTCACAATTATTTATTATCAAATGAAGGACTTGAACAATTTGCTATGTATAATTTGCATTAATCTTTAATCCCCTTGTAGCGGGGTGAACACCTGCTCCGGCCCTGGAGGGACTGGAAAAGCCCTGCAGAGGGCTGGGGCTGGGCAAGGTAAAACCCTGGCTGACTGGGGGAAGTGGCTGCAGCTGGGCCACGCCCCAATCAGGCTTCAGCTGGCCTGTATAAAAAGACTGGGAGCAAGGTGCTCTCTCTGTTTTCAGAGAGAGAAGGGCCTGGCTGCAGGGAGCTAAGACAGAGTATGTGGGTGGAGCAGGGCTGGGGAAAGGCTGAGGAGCCCCAGGCTGCGGTCTAATAGGAGGTCAAGGGGTACTGGGGGTTGCAGAGGGAAACCCAGGGCTAGGCCAAGGCAGCTGGTCCAAACCCAACCTTACCTGTGATGAGTGGCCTATACTGCAGTCTGCCCCAGGGAGCGGGGGCTAGTTGGTGACTGGCAGTGGCCTTATTCTGAGGTGAGGTAGGGATAGTGGGTGGGGGTTCCCTGGGGAGGGGAGACCCTAGTACTGGGGGGTGTACCCCAGATACAAGGGCACTGGGGTCTGGGAGGGACACGGGGGCCAGAGGACAGGCGGATCACTGGCCTGCAGGGAGTGCTCCAGGATGCTGGAAAAGCTAATTCCCAGAAGTCACCAGCAGGAGGTGCCGCAGGGGTGAGTCTGCTCCTCTACACGCCTCAACAATGAATATATACACACACTTTGTATATTTTTTCAGATTATGTGGCGTAGCATATTGTCTTTTGAAATTGCTTACGGTTTTCTGACAGCGGTAGTGGCCTAAAGTTTCATATCAGAATTATCAGTTCATTTTTGGTATTAAGCCAAAAATACATTTATACAGAATTGCTTGGACAATAGTACAATTATGGAAAATCATTAATTATTATGATCTTTCAAACTGCTGAAATTAAAAATTCCTATGCAATTAATAATCATCCCTCAGATAGAAAATTATGAGCATGAAATACCTTGGGGATGGTAGACTGAGGGTATGTTTAAACTGCAACTGGGAGGTGTGATTGCAGCACCTATAGACATATCCAAACTAGCTTTAATTTAGCTAGCTCAAGTTACAATAGCAGTGAAACCACTGTATAGGGGCAGTGGCTTCTTGAGTATGCACTCAGGGTTCGGGGTGGACAAGACTAGCCCATGCTGCCGCAACTTCATGGCTATTGTTACTCAAGCTAGCTAGATCAAAGTTAGCTTGGGTATGTCTAGATATGCTGCAATCACACCATCTGATTGCAGAGTAGACACCATTAGAAATCTTATTTTTAAATGGTTTTTAACCTACAGCTGAAAAAAAAATCTAGAAAATCAAAAGTTAAGACTATCTGAACATAATAGAAACATAGCATTTAAATGAGAAGAAAAATACAAGTTTGTTCCTCAACAATCTGTATTAATTGCTGAGCTGTTTAGGATGTACTTTAGTTAGAGACCTGCTTTATGGCTGAAGTTGTTTTGAATCATCAAATGTCTACTGAATTAATTGAGTTACAAACAATATAAATACTTCTGAGCCTGGTTGAAGCTGAACACCCAGGCTTCTCTATAGTGATTGAAATGCAACAAATATTGGTGTCTGTGGTAAAAAAAAAAAAAAAAAAAAAAAGGAAAGAAAACAAACAAACCAAAAAAGAAAACAGGTTTCAGAGTTGTAACCATGTTAGTCTGTATCAGCAAAAACAATGAGGAGTCCTTGTGGCGCCTTTGAGACCAACCAAATTTGGGTATAAGCTTTCATGGGCTAAAACCCACTTCATCAGATGCATGGAGTGGGAAATACAGTAGACAGGTATATAAACACAGTACATGGAAAGATGGGAATTGCCTTTCCAAGTGGGAGGGTCAGTGCTAACAAGAATTAAATTACAGTGGAAGTGGGCTATTCTCAACAGTAGAATACCAAGGGAGGAAATATCACTCTTGTACTGGTAATGAGGCCAACGTAATCAGGGTGGCCCATTTCAAACAGTTGACAAGAAGGTGTGAGTAACAATAGGTGGAAATTAGCATGGGGAAATTACTTTTTGTAGTGACCCGTCCACTCCCAGTCTTTATTCAGGCCTAATTTGATGGTGTCCAGTTTGCAAATTAATTCCAGTTCTGCACTTTCTATTGGAGACTTTTTGAAGCATTTTTGTTGAAGAATTGCCACTTTTAAGTCTGTTATTGAGTGTCCAGGGAGATTGGAGTGTTCTCCGACTGGTTTATGAATGTTATAATTCTTGACGTCTGATTTGTGTCCATTTATTCTTTTGCGTATCGACTGTCTGGTTTCGCCAATGTACATGGGAGGGGCATTGCTCGCACATGATGGCGTATATCACATTGGTAGATGTGCAGGTGAATGAGCCCCTGTTGGTGTGGCTGATGTGGTTAGGTCCTACAATGTTGTCCCTTGAATAGATATGTGGACTCTCAATAATAGACTTAAAAGTGGCTATTCAACAAAAGCCTCAAACAACTGACAATATAATCAAAAAGGCTAGCAAAGGAGGTGCTGTCGTCATCATGAATAAGTCGGAATATGAACAAGAGGCTGCTAGGCGACTCTCTGACCCCACATTCTACAGGCTATTACCCTCTGATCACACTGAGGGTTACCGAAGGAAACTACACCATCTGATGAAGAAACTCTGTGAAGAAGCACAGGAGCAAATCTACATAGACACACCCCTAGACCCCTGACCAGGGGTATTCTATCTGCGACCCAAGATCCATAAACCTGGGAATCTTGGACGCCCCATCATCTCAGGCTTTGGCACTCTGACAGCAGGATTGTCTGGCTATGTAGATTCTCTCCTCAGGCCCTACGCCAGGGGTCGGCAACGTTTAGCACGCAGCTCGCCAGGGTAAGCACCCTGGCGGGCTGGGCCAGGTTATTTACCTGCTGATGCTGCAGGTTCGGCGAACCGCGGCCAGTGGGGGCCGTGATCAGCCGAACCTGCAGCATCAGCAGGTAAATAACCTGGCCCGGCCTGCCAAGGTGCTTACCCTGGCGAGCCGCGTGCCAAATGTTGCCGACCCCTGCCCTACGCTATCAGCACTCCCAGCTATCTTTGAGACACTACTGACTTCCTGAGGAAACTACAATCCATTGGTGATCTTCCAGGATACACCATCCTAGCCACTATGGATGTAGAGGCTCTCTACACCAACATTCCACTCAACGGTGGACTACAAGCTGTCAGGAACAGTATCCCCGATAATGCTGTCCTCACCCAGAACTATTTCAGATTTGGGGACAATTTATACCTTCAAGTCACTGCTATGGGTACCTTCATGGCCCCACAGTATGCCAATATTTTTATGTCTGACTTAGAACAACACTTCCTCGGCTCTCATCCCCTTAATGCCCCTTCCACTTGCACTACATTGATGACATCTTCATCATCTGGACCCACGGGAAGGAGGCCCATGAGGAATTCCACCAGGATTTCAACAATTTCCACCCCACCATCAACCTCAGCCTGGACCAGTCCACACAAGAGATCCACTTCCTGGACACTACAGTGCAAATAAGCGATGGTCAAATAAACGCCACCCTATACCAGAAACCTACTGACCGCAACACTTACCTACATGACTCCAGCTTTCATCCAGACCACATCACATGATCCATTGTCTACAGCCAAGCTCTAAGATACAACTACATTTGTTCCAATCCCTCAGACAGACAACCACCCATAGGATCTCTATCAAGCATTCTTAAAACTATGATACCCACCTGGTGAAGTGAAGAAACAGATTGACAGAGCCAGAAGGGTATCCAGAAGTTACCTACTACAGGATAAGCCCAACAAAGAAAGTAACAGAACTCCACTAGCCATCACTTTAAGCCCCCAACTAAAACCTCTCCAGCACATCAAGGATCTACAACCTATCCTGAAAGACGATCCCTCACTCTCTGACCTTGCGAGACAGGCCAGTCCTCGCTTACAGACAGCCTCCCAACCTGAAGCAAATACTCACCAGCAACTACACAGCAAAAACACTAACCCAGGAACCTATCCCTGCAAGAAACCCCATTGCCAACTCTGTCCACATCTATTCAAGGGATACCATCATAGGACCTAACCACATCAGCCACACCATCAGGGGCTCATTCACCTGCACATCTACCAATGTGATATATGCCATCATGTGCAAGCAATGCCCTTCTCCCATGTACATTGGCCAAACTAGACAGTCTATACGCAAAAGAATAAATGAACACAAATCAGACGTCAAGAACTATAACATTCATAAACCAGTCGGAGAACACTCCAATCTCCCTGGACACTCAATAACAGACTTAAAAGTGGCAATTCTTCAACAAAAATGCTTCAAAAAGTCTCCAATAGAAAGTGCAGAACTAGAATTAATTTGCAAACTGGACACCATCAAATTAGGCCTGAATAAAGACTGGGAGTGGATGGGTCACTACAAAATTTCCCCATGCTAATTTCCCCCTATTGTTACTCACACCTTCTTGTCAACTGTTTGAAATAGGCCACCCTGATTACGTTGGCCTCATTACCAGTACAAAAGTGATTTTTCCTCCCTTGGTATTCTACTGTTGAGAATAGCCCACTTCCGCTGTAATTTAATTCTCGTTAGCACTGAGCCTCCCACTTGAAAAGGCGACGTGTGTGTGTGTGTGTGTGTGTACACCTGCCTACTGTATTTTCCATTACATGCATCTGATGAAGTGGGTTTTAGCCCTTGAAAGCTTATGCCTAAATAAATATTAGTCTGTATTCATCACTTTTTTTTTACAAAAACTAGGAGTACTTGTGGCACCTTAGACTATCTCTGAATATGGTGAAAATGAAATTCATGATTAACAAAAACAAGATGAAAGCAAACACTTCAATTAATGCTCCAGATGTAGAGTTAGTAAATGATTTCTGTTATCTGGGGTCATACATATCCAACCAAGGAGGCTGTTCTAAAGAAATTGGAGGAAATATAGGAATGGTTTGCTCCGCAATGACCCCCTAACAAAAGTTTGGAGGAAAAAACATAGAATTTTAAAATGTACAAAGTTTCAACTGGTGAAAAACTTAAGTTTCTCAATAGCAACCTATGGATGTGAATTGTGGGAAATTAAGGCTGCTGACAAGAAGAAAACTGAAGCCCTTGAAATGTGGTGCTGGCAAAGACTCTTGCATATCTCCTGGATAGAAAAGATGAGGAATGTTTGTTAGGAGCATTGCTGGAGAGAAGCAGACTTTGTCAGAAATCAACAGGCACAAACTCATGTACTTTGGTCACATCAGGCACAGAGATGGAAATAACTTTGAGACAGTTATCACAGAAGGAATGGTGGCAAGTCATTGTAATAAGGTATGATCATGGAGGAGCTGAATAGATGGTGTGTAGCAGATTACTGGGAAATCATCTGCTAAGTGTTCATAGGTAGCAATGGATAGAGACGGCTTCAGTAAATTCTGCCACAATGTTACCAATATTCACCAATATAATACACAAACATAAATAAATGGATTTTACTCTCGGACAATAGTGATGGCTCTTCCATGATTTTTTTTTAAACACTGTTTTCCTATTCTTGGTCCCCTCTACAGCACTTTAATTATAGATATAATGGTAACATATTGTAGGAAATATTGTAAAATATACCTCATCTCCTAACCTTCTGGGTAGTGCACCATAGAGACTACTTGAGGTGATTAAAACATCTATTCAGACAAATTGAGATTTATTCCAATTATGTAGAGTAGTGTAAATCTTGATCAGTCTCTCATAGTGTACAGCAGAGTCATAATTACACAGGCAACACCTAAATTTACCTTTATGAGATATGATGTCATTCTTTACCTCACACCATTGGGAAAGCTTTGAGTAATGAAGACACCAAATTACAGATAAAGAGCAAATGCTTGATGAGGTATCATATATTTAATGTATACAACCTTCCATTTTCAAAAAAGTGTCTCTTGATGTAAGTGACTCCTTACTGAAGTCATTGAAATGTGGGGCTACTAAGAACTCCGGGAGCTGTGAGCTGGACTCAATCTCTTATTAGGTGAGTGAATAATTCGGTACATAATAAATGATGAGTTGGGTTGTTAACTGTACCTATCACTAATTTCAGGTTTTTCCCTAGACTGGTGCAGACTTCAGCAGTAATGTCATTTTTCTAAAACTGGGTCCTTGCTGTACATGAGTTTCCACCACCACATTATACATTGGGGGATGGGGAGAGAGAGAAATTAGGTGTTTGAAAAATCCTACAGAACTGTCTCAAGCCCCCTACATTAATTTTTCCCTCATACTTTCTATTGACTCTGGCTATTCTCCATTTGAACACAGTTTTGTTATTGGGTATGATTTTTCAAGTACCTACTCTGAATCATTTATCTGATGGGCCTTTGGACCACTAAATAATTCTTTTTCAACTTTGAAAATAAACAACTAATTTGGCAAAACATTATTCTAGCACGGAAAAGTCATTTTACTGAGGCAATAATAATAAAAAAATATTATTAAAAGCATAAATGTAAGCCTCAATTCTGCAGTCAGATCCATCAGAACAGAACAATATAGGATTGGAACATATCTCCTGGGTCAATGAGTTCAGTCCCCTGCTATCGAAGGCAACCACATCTATTCCCTTTCATAGGATCCATAAGGGGAGATCCCTGTGAATATGTGGTTCCCACTGACTTCAATGGGACTCTATGGGTCTGTCCACACTACAATAAAAAATCTGCAGTACCAAGTCGCAGAGCCCATCTCAGCAGGGCTCAGGTTGAAGGTCTAAAAAATTCAGTGCAGGCTTTCCAGCTTGGGCTGGAGCCTGGGCTCTGAGACCTTCTCCCCTTGTGGGGTCTCAGAGTCTGTGCTACAGCTCAAGGCTGAATGCCTACACAGAAATTTCATAGCCCCGCAGCCTGAGCCCTGTGAGCCCAAGTGAGCAGACCAGGGCCAGCAGTGGCCATGCCGCAGGTCTTTTATCGCAGTGTAGACATGCATAGCCGATTGATAGGTCAGGGCCTTTCTGTAACCCAGCTTTATGAATGAGCATCTTCTCATCAGGGTACATGTACCTTTTGGGAGGGTCATCGTGGTCTATGTATTAAGGAGAAAGTAAACATTACCCATATACACAGTGCGCTGCTGAGACCAGCCATTCAGCACTGATGAGGGAAGCTCCACATGTAGGTTTTTCATTAAAAAGCAGCAAGACTACCCAAGGCCAAGCTCCTTCTTTGGCATCACTTCCACCTACAATCTTTGCACCGATCTCCTGAGTTATGAGTCGTTTTCCACAAGCTAGAATTAGAAAGGGGAGGGGAAGTCTGAAATTAATTTATGCCATATTTCAAGATGTGCCCAAGATACAAAGTTCCAGTCTGGAACTGGATCTGATCTTTCCTAGAGTTTGGGGGCGGGGGTGTGGTGTGGATATCATCTGTTTGCACCCATTGTATGTTTAAGTCTAAAAACAACTGAAGATTATAAATGTTCCTGCTTCATTGTTTATATGAAAATACAGTTTATTTCGCTGCCAAAATCTTTCCAACAATATACATGAAGTTTATGGAGCCAACAATTTGATTTTTAAAGTGGAAGTTTCTTATGAAATATTTACTTACGTTTATTGTTGCATTGCAGATGAATCACCAGATTACTGAGACACTGTTTGCTAGAATGAAAGCACAGTTGTTAAAAATACAGGTATCTGCAGGCCAGGTGACATTACCTGAGTATGTTTAAGTGCAGTTTAGCATCATTACAAAACTTGTTCTGTACATCAAGTTTCCTTTTTCTAAAGGAAAACCACGGTGTTAATGTGCAGTAATTTAGCTGTACTACCCAATGCTTAAATGTAAGTTTCAATTATAATATACAATATGGATATCTCACATATAAATTCTCCTTTGCTGGACATTTGATTAAAAACAGCATATTATAGAAATTAAAATAGCCTAATCTTTAGGGGAGAAATGTCATCTGCTAAAATTCTGAATCCAATATAATCTGAATTCAATATGGATTTTTTTTGCTGCCTTCTTAGGTGTATTCAGGAACTTGCCACTAGATATCAGTGTAACCAAAGAATTAAAAATATATATATATATATATATATATATTAGTCTGATATCAGTGTAGCTTTCATAGAGATAACATTGCACTGTAGAATATATATAGACACATATAAAGGCTTAGGAATTATTTAGAAGAAAAATAAAGCCAGAAGCCTGAAGAGCACAAGGCCACAGATCAAAACTACTCAAGCATTTCTGACACCCAGAGGTTTTAAGATTATCTTCATAGCTCGTAATGAATCCAAGCACTGGGGACAGTGCCTGTGCCACCAATTAAATCTGATATATACAAAAATATACCAGGAAAGAATATCAGAGGACTAGTTTAATACATAGTTTGTTTTTTAAATGTATACAGAGTAATATAGCATGATTATATAAATGTAACTATCAACATTTCCCTATTATACAATAACATATACTCTCATATTGTAATCCAGAATCACTGTATAGTTTTCACATTGCAAATATCTCCTATTTTCAGTCTTACATATAACTCCAAGGATGTAGTTTACACCATTGAAGCCAAATTCTTCAGTCTTTACTCAAACTCCCATTGAAAACGCATAAGCCCATATAAACCAGCTGTGCATTGGGCCATCTGGCAGGGAGGATGAATAAACTGGTACAGAAAGGGGTAGGGCAGGGAACACAGCTGCTTCCAGCAGGATTGCACAGTAACTGGTAACTTGCAAATGAGCTTCATCTCCACCAAACTGCCTTACATGGATTCCATGGAGCTGCAGAGGGTGCAGGAACTAATGCAGCCCACTCCTAATGCAGGTTCAGCAGGAGGTGGGATAGAACATTAGCTTATTTTGACAGGGCCTATGCCTTCTGTGATGGTGACACATCTAGCATCTCCTACTCTTTAATCTACAGCAGGGAGCTATGTGTAGGAGTAGCAACTCACTGGGGTATTTCTTACACTGCTGACACCCCCTGATTGCCATGACCAGAGGGACTTCAAACTGGCGAGCCTCCACCTTTACTTCATGTTGGAGCTGTCAGTCTGGAGATTGGTTCTGGGTTGTTCATCCCCATTTGTCATTCCTATGGCTGCCAGCTGGGTAGCGGAGGAGGATCCATTCCCCTTAGAGCTGGATGAAAATTTTCAGTTGAATAGTTTATTAGCCAAAACATGCAGTTTGGACCAGCCTGAAAGTATTCCTGAATTTGGAACAAATTTGCCAAATGCTTTTGACCAAAACAATGATTTGGGATTAGGTGCGATTTGCAAAATGAACAGAAGAGAAGCCGGTGCCACCACCCTAATAACTTTAGCCTAAACTTTAGTGTTTAGGGCATTCAGCTGAATCCAGTTGTCCCCTGTACTGGATGTGGAGAAGGGATTTGAACTTGGGTCTCCCATATTGCAGAAAATTGCCCTAACCACTAGAACAGTTTCAATAGGAGAGAGTGAAACACCCCCAACAGCAGCATACCCTATAGTCCAGTGGCTAGGGTACACTCCTGCAATGATGGACACCTGTGTTCAAATCCCTTTTCTACATCTAGCAGAGGGTGGAACTGAACCCGAGTCTCCTGCATGAGCGCCCTAATCACTGGGATAAAGGTTATAAGATAGACAGTACTACCTCTTTCCCTTCCCCTCATGCCCACATTTGGTGAATTTAACTGTTTATTTCCTTTGCTATTATTTTTAAAAGCATCTGCAAAGGAAACAATACATTTTATTTTTGGTCAAATGAAATGTTCTGTTCGACACAAAATGAAATTTCTCTTGACTTTTTCAATTTGCCAAATTTTTTCAGAATTTTTGATCTTGGTTTGATTCGAACCAAAATTGTTTCAGAGCTGCCAATGAACCAGAAAAATCAATTATTTACCCAGTTCTAATCCCCCTCCTCTCCCACTGAAATGTCAGGAAGGCCTGGTGCGTGCTGACTGCTTCCCCTGTGTTACTCCCAAAAGGCCCACTTGTGTCACTGTATATAGGAGTTGGGCTGGATGACTTTGATGGCTGCGTGAATATTCTCCTTCCCAGTTGCTCTTAGCAGAAATATTTCTTGCTGTGGACAGTGGCGGATTAGCCACTGGGACAACAGGGGCCCTTGCCCAATTGGGGCCCCCCACAAA